TGCTGCTGTTGTTGTCGTTGCTGCTTTTGTCGTTGTTTTCGTTGTTGTTGCTGCTGTTGTTGTTGCTGCTGTTGGCTTTGCTATTGCAGTTATTGAAAATACATATTACATATATTACATTTACATATGAAAATATACAGACAAATTAAAATATCTTTTCTTCACCTTTCTCGTATTTTTATTCAACAGCTTTCTATTGGTTTGGCTATGAATTCCTGCGAAGCAACGTTCCAGAACCTGGCTTCTGGTCATCGTTTTTTTGTGGTGCTGGTTCAGGACTGGTGAGTTCATTTTACTTTAGTTTCAAACTCGGTAGTTGAAAGCTGCACGCTGAAGTTTGGTTTTTGGTTGCCGTCAATCAAAAATAATCAGTTGGTACCTTTTATATTCTTGACTGGCGGCAGTAAAAAACCAGTTTCACAACAAGCAATTGAAGGAAATATCGAAAACCACAGTAACTATTTATTTTGTGTTCTTAAAGAAACGAAATGTCGTCTATGGTGCGAGCAACGCCAAATCAATGATATTGGCAAACCTGAACGTTTGGTGTTGTAAGGAGAGCTGTTTGTTGGTTCTCTTCTGTGTTCCGAGGATTTTTCTCCGGGTACTCCGGTTTCCTTTCCTGCATAAAAATCAACTTCTAAATTGCAATTTGATCGTAGGACGAGGGCACAGTTTTGTCAGCTCCTGCTGTTAAGTACTACACTATCAAAACAGGAATTCTCCTTTCTAGAGGCTTCAAGCCTTTTTGTTTTCTGGACCGATTTCTGCACTATCTATTTTTGAAATCAGTTTCTTAACCAATTTTGGTGCCTTTGTCCGCTCTGGACAAAAGATAGATAAATAAAACAAGGGCGGATCCAGCCAAAATTCTAGAGGGGGGGGGGGGCAATTGAGTTTCTTCCGTCAACACAACGGAAAACAATATAAAAAGCATCTAATTCTTCCGGGTTTTTTTCTGCTGAAGGGTGGCTTCGGATCCCTTTGTCCCCCCCCCCCCCCCACCTGGATCCGCCCTTGTAAAACCGTCTATCTACCTGACTATCTTGGGCGAGCACGCTAGTGTTTATTTTAATGTGTGGAGTTTAGTGTGTGTGGGTTTTTTTCTTTAAAGGTTGCAGCGGTAATGACTCAACCATTTGATGTGGTCAAAACTCACAGACAGATAGAACTGGGAGAACTAGAGTTCAGTAAGTATTCCCCTTTTTAATTCATGATGCGCTATGACAGAATGCTGGAGGAGGCAAGCTGACACAAAACTAACAAAAAACAGTAACAGCAACAGCAACAGCAACAGAAGCAACAACACCATCGACAACAACAGCAGTAACAACAATAGCATTAACAACAGCAGCAACAACAACAACAGCAACAACAGTAGCAGCAACAATAATAGCAGCATCAGCATTAGTACCAGCAACAACAGCAGCAGAAGCAATAACAGCGTTGAAGCAAGAAAGATGATTATTCATCATGTTATCTTAGGGAAGAAGTACACCTATACTGTAGATCTGAGCAGTAGCTTTTTCAACATACATCTGACTTTATGAAAATTCTTTATTTTAGTGTTTTACAAATGGGAGAAGCATTTTCGAAACTTCGTAGTATACAAGTTAGGGAATGATATTTTTTTTCCATTTCAGAATCTCAAAAAAGACTATCATTCACTGCCTCGATATTAATAAAACTGTACAGAGAGAAGGGAATATCAAGTTTGTTTGCAGGTATAAACTTAATCTTATTGGTTCTATATGTCATGATTTTTCACAGCACGTTAGAAATAGCCTCGGCTAGTCCCCTAATCCCCAGGCTACTCTCATCGCTCTTCGGCATGACGTCATGCATGTGATTTGACTCAGACGAATACGTGTGTTAGTTCTGAAGCATCCGCCATTTTGAATTTGGGAGAGCTGACAAGAGTAGCTTGGGGACTAAGGTAATTAAAGGAGATTTTTTATTTGAGGGCGTGGGAATGTCTTACTCTCAGCCAATTATATTCACTAAAAAACTGTCACTTAATTGACACTTAATTGGCTCGTCTATATTGAACATTCTATATTTCCTTCAGTATTGCTGGGTTAAAAAAATAGTTGATAAAAGTCTTTGAATCTCATTATCTGCACCACATAACTGTCAAACACTGACCACCATGTGCTGTCATGTGTTATGGGGAATGACACGTGGTCTGAAATCGAAAAGACATTACGCCCAAAGTAAACCTACTGAAACAAAAAGGGGATGACGTGTGATCTGAAATGGGGAACTGAGTGGGTCCTTTAGCTTAGTAAGTTACTTGTTCTAAGCTAACGTCATGATCATTTTGAAGGTATTGCACCAAGAATGGTCAAAGTACCGCCTGCATGTGCAATAATGATCAGCATCTACGAATTTGGCAAGAATTTTTTCACGAATTACAATAAAAAGAATAAGAGTACCACACAACTAAAACAAGTCGTCGATTAAAGAGGAGGAGGGCCAAGTATAGTGAGCTACAGGAAAAGATAGTAAAGTATAGGTACCGTATGAAGGTAACATGTGGCAATGGTATTTATATCTTATGTTTGGAACGTAGTAGTTATTTAGAGGAATTCTTGGTTTTTCAAGAAGGTAATACTGTTGGTATGAGTGCTTTGAAAGTAAAGTAACTCGTCCATGTACGATGGCAAATTAGGGAAAAGAAGGGACACAGTGGTGACGTACGAGGCAGCCTTCTTGGTATATATGGGATACCCCAGGTACTGCCATAAATCACGTGGTCGATGGTTTGTTTTCACAAAATCGACGATGAATATTTCCGTATATAATTGTAATTTTACAAATAAATGCAATAAAGACGTTTAGTGATAGAAAATCGGAAAATAACGCATTTAGCTTATTTTTTTATTTCTTCTATTCTCCGCTTCTCTCCCCTCCTYTTGCATATTGTCATTTTTCTTTTTCATTTGTATTCTCATATCTCCTATATAAATGCATCTCAGAATAAAAAAATAGAATCCGCGACGCTGAGAAAACTTTTTTTTTTACCAAGGGAAGGTACGTTTTATTGGGAGAGGGAGTGCTGATTCTTCAGAGTGGAGGGTCAGCTAAAATCTTAAGGAACAGGTCAAAAGTTAGAGGAGGGGGAGGGCTGGTGCAAATGGGGGGAGGGTCATTATTTTTCATGCAGGCTAAAAGGGAGGGCCAGAAGAAATTGTGCAAGTATTTAGGTAAAGGCCAATTTTTTATATGTATAAGGAAAGGGAGGGGCACTAAAAAATGTATAGGCCAAAAATAAAATGCACCAGCACTCCCCCCCCCCCCCCCCCCCCCCCCCCCCCTTTTCACCCGCCCCTAAGCGACAAGCCCCTTTTTTGACGAAAACTNAAGGAAAGGGAGGGGCACTAAAAAATGTATAGGCCAAAAAAAAAAAGCCCCAGCCCCCCCCCCCCCCCCCCCCACCTCTCTCTAATTTTTGACCTGTCCCTAAGCGACAAGCCCCTTTTTTGACGAAAACTGTTTCCTTGTTGACTTAATAAGTCGTGAATTTCTTACTGACTGAAAGGCTGAGGGCTACAGCCTCCTCTCTAAGAAAATAACGTACCTTCCCTAACGGAAAGTTGAATTCAAAAGTGTCTTCTGACCTCAAAGAACCTGATGGATTTAATTGTTCGTTCGATGGTCGTCGTGTCTTCTTTTTTCTGCTTTCTACTTTTACTCTTAGAGATGATGTCTGCATGGATGATGACGCCTTATATTAGCATCTACTTCATTTGGATCTGTGCGCCCTGCAAGTTTGAATTATAGATGAAACTCGATTGTAAAGTTTGTCTTCTGGAAAAACCTTTTAAATCAAGAGGTAAATAGGCGTCACTTAAAATTTTAAACCTTTTCTTTACCAAATTTATCTCATGCTTTTTAACCTCTACCCACCCCCTCACAAGTCGAGAATGTCCTGTTCTTCCGGCCCATGTTCTATACGACTCCATAGTCATCATTCAAATATTATTTTTAGTTTCTTAAAATATATTCTTAAAACAACCTCTGGGCTGCTCAATCCAGGAATCGAATTTCCTCGACACCTCGTTTATCATTAACCCCTCCCACCCTCTACGCGCCCAAGCGGAGCGGACAATCCTAGCTTAACCACTAAGACTTCACCATTCGATCGCAGCCAGCTGCTTTGAGTGTCCCATAGTAAACACCTCTTTTGTTCGGTTAGGTTTTGTTTACTTGTTTGGAAGGCCAATCTATTACCATTGTTTTTTTAAACCAATCGTTAACCGTATCGCAAACAGCGTAGAACGCCCCATTTTGACTAACATTGCTAATATACGAAGTGTGTTTTTTGATTCAGCCTATTTATCAAGAATAACCAGAGGAATAAAGTACATACATTATAAGACTGGTTAAGGAGGTCATCTCATGAGGTAAGTAAGATAAGTAGTTTTATTAGTATTCGTAGACTATGTGATGGGCAGCATGACCGTCTTAAATCTAAAGTAGCTCTCGGGTCATCGATTAATTCCTATTTGTCGATTTAAAACCAAGGTAAAACAGCCATCCAGACGCTACTATCCTATGAGAAAAATGACATTATATTGGCTGTTCATTGTCATAGAGACTCGCATATTGTAAAGCTGTTTTTACGGTAACTTGACATCATCCCGAAGTAAAATCTCATCTTTCAGCAAAGTAAACTGGGTTTTCTATGTCAGCCCCATTAGGGTCTTTAATTAATTCTGAATTTGTGCATCTAGTCTAAACAATGCAAAAAGACATCTGAAATGAATATACACAATAGATGATTATATAACTACTTAAAAATACCATTCTTTTTAATCAAATCGAAGCGTCCTTCCGTGAAAGGCTATAATTAATATGTCGGTCTATGCTTTATTTTGTTTATACCTCGTCCGTCGGATGATGATGGCAATGATGACAATGATAATGATGATGCGTCCTTAAGTGAAAGGCTATAATTAATATGTCGATCTATGCTTTATTTTGTTATACCTCGTCCGTTGGATGATGATGGCAATGATGATGATGATGATGATGCGTCTTTCCGTGAAAGGCTAATAATATGTCGATCTATGCTTTATCCTTTTTATACCTCGTCCGTCGGATGATGATGGCAATGATGATGATGATGATGATGATGCGTACTTCCGTGAAAGGCTAATAATATGTCGGTCTATGCTTTATTCTTTTTATACCTCGTCCGTCGGATGATGATGGCAATGATGACAATGATGATGATGATGATGATGATGCGTCCTTCCGTGAAAGGCTAATAATATGTCGATCTATGCTTTATTCTTTTCATACCTCGTCCATCGAATGA